ATATTGCCAAGGTTGGACAGGGTTTTTTTTTTGTTGTTGTTGTTGTTTGTTTGTTTTGCCTGTGTTTCCTAATTTGCATTTCCTAAGTTTTGATTTCTTCAGCTGTGAAATAACTCACTATGTGTGCACCATCTGCCTGGGTTGCTCCACTTTGGCCCTTTGGTACTTGGGTGATAATTTGAAGGTCATGCTGCCTATTGATTGCGCCATAAGAATGGATAAATGGGCCTCCCTGGTGGTGCAGGCGGTTGAGTGTGGTGCTGTGAAGCTGTCCGCAGCCTCTGCAGTGTGGGTTTGAACCCTGGCCGACCAGCGAGAATCCCACATGGTGCAGCAGACCTCTTCCACTGGTCCCCTCAGCAGTGTATTTCAGTCAGTCAGTCTGCCTGTTCTGTTCCCGGCTCTGTCTCTGGTGAATCCTTTCACCCTCCCTCTCATCTGGCCTGTACCACGGTTCTTGCATGCATGAATAAATAAATCTTAAAAAAGAAAAAGAATGGATAAATGTACAAAGAAAATTTGGGGTGTGTGTGTGTAAATTACAATGGAATATTGTTCAGTCTTAAAGAGGGAACGCCTGTTTTTGTTTTTTTAAAGAACATTGATAAAGCTGGAGGGTATTAGCATAGTGAAAAAAGCCAGATAGAGACAAATTCCGCTTAGGCTTGGTATCACTACATGTGTAATCTGTTAAAAAAAAAAAAAAAAGTCTAACTCAGAAAAAGAGTAAAAAAAGTGTGTGCTAGGTCGGGGCTGGCCTGGGAAAGAGTGGTGGGAAGGATTAGGGAAAGAGTGCAGACTTTCAATTATCAGATGAATATGGTCTGAGGTTCTATTGTAAAAATACTATACCGTATTGTGTAATTGAAATTTTCTAAGAAAGTTGAACTTACATATCCTTACCAAGAAAAAGGTATTATGTGAGGTATTGGATACATTAACCCAATGAAGAGAATCCTTTGACAGGGTATGGATGTATCCAGTCATAACATTGTATGGTTTAAATATCTTTTTATCTGTCAACTATACTTCAATAAATCTGCAGAAAAAAAATCAGTAAACAGAAAAAAAAAAAAGGTATCTCAGTCAGGATTCTTGTTTCTGGTAGCATTCATAAAACTCTGGCAGACTTCCTTGACAACTGGCAAGTAGAGGAAAATCTTTGACCTTTCCCTGTTATTTAAGATCTTGATACATATTTGCGTAATTGTATGGTTTTTTTTTAAGCAAGAGGAAAGAGTAAGATAATTATGGAAATACAAAAAATAAAAGGAAAGCATGTGTGTGTAAATATGTGAGTATGTATTTAATGAGAAAAGCTTACTAAAAATGCTCTATGAACTCACAGATAATTATTTCTTAGAGCAATTCCCTTCTGTTCTCATTACTATATGGCTGATTTCTAGTCTGAAATTTCTATCTTTGCATGGCAAGTCACAGTCCCTATAAATAAAATAATTTTATTTGTATAGTTATTTCTTATTTTAAAATTTGTTTAGACATACAGGAATTTATAGGTGCTGAATTGATGTACTCAGCATTACAGTAAATAGACATTTTAAAATAAATCCTATAAATATATGGTCATTTTCTCTAAGACAGACACTCATAAATTATGTATAACATGCAAAATACTCTTTACTTCTCAGAATTAAAACTAGGAACAGTAAAATTAAAACAGGAACTTCTATGCAGTTGTCAGCTGTCTTGTATATATTGGCAAGATAGAGCACTGCCTTCTAAAGTTGTATTTGAAAATCACCTTAATATTTTATTTTCTAAGGGAATGTAGTCGTACTGCATTTACAGTGAAAATTAAAAGCATTGCTGTTAGATATAGTCAAATCCAAGTAATTTGTTTTAAAATTAGGATCAATTTCAGTTGACATCTTTTTATTAAGGCAGTTCGTATCTTTTTTTTTTTAAACTTACAATTAACCCAGTAATTAGCCATAATTTTTCTTTTTCTTACATTAACCTGCCATTGTGTGCTTATCTGAATGTTCTCTTTCTGTTAAATTACTAATTCAAGAATTTTGCTCTTTTGATGAGGTTATTCTCTGACCCTTCTCTCTCCTATTTCTTTTGTCTCTTTCTTCCTCAGGTAGGTACAGAACACTTAAACAAGTCTTTACCCCAATTCAGGGTGTAAGATGCCTGCCTCCCTTTTCTCTCTTCTTCTTTCCTCTCTTTTTAAAAATTCGTTGAGCTATAATCGATACACAAAAATATGAGGACATTTAATGTACCTATCTTTGATACCATTACTACAAAGTACTAAATAGAGGCTGGAGTGGGGGACAGGGTGGTTCAAGAACAAGAATTCACCAGAGACAGAGTAGAGAACAGAATAGGTGGATTTAATAAAATGTACTGCTTAAGGGAAGCAGTGGGGAGACAGGAAAAGTCTGCTGCATACAGAGTAAGACCCCTGAGGTTCTATTTATACTCCAGGCTTCATTGGTTGGTTAGGGTGACTAGTCTTGTGGTGTGTACTGACTGATAATCTTACTTAGCATAAGGGATCATCAACTCTAACAGTCATCAGCTTAATGTTCAGGTCCCCAGGGCCCCCATGGCAGTCCCATCTACACCCTTTATCCATTCAAGCCTCCCAAACTTGCCTGCTGGGCAAGGCATGGGGGCTTCATTTTTAAATTTAGTAATGACACCATGATGATATGCATCACCTGAAAAATTTTCCTTGTTTTCTTTTGTGTGTGTATGTGTTTTGTGGTATGAGCACTTAACATAAGAGATATATATATATATATATATATATATATATATATATATATATATATAGTGCTCAGTGCTGTAATGTTAACTATAGGTACAACAGATCTCTAGAACTTAACTCATCGAAAAACAATTTCTATTTCTCTCTCCTACTCCTGCCAACTGTCATTCTGCATTCTACCTGTATGAGTTTGACTTTTTAACTATCTCATGTAGGTAGAATTATGCAGTATTTGTCCCGACTGACTTATTTTACTTAGCATAATGTCCTCTATGTTCAGCTGTACTGTCCCAAATGGCAGGATGTTTATTTCTTTTCTATTTTTTTTTCACTTTTTGCGTGAAAGAACTGGGGTGTAAGCCAGAGGTGTGGGGGTGAGAAGATTCACCAGAGATGGAGTGGGGAGCAGATCAGAGGGATTAACTGAAATACACTGCTAAGGGGAACAGTGAGCGAGACAGGAGAGGTCTGTTGCTCCATGTGGGTTACCTTCTGGCCAGGAATCGAGCTCAGGCTATAGGGGTGATGGTACTGAGAGTCAACCCCTTGGCCGGCAGGGAAGCCCCAGGATGTCTCTTTTTGTGAGGCTGAAAAATATTTCTCTATGTGTGTGTGTGTGATCTTTATTTGTCACTGGACTTTTGAGTTGTTTCCATATATTGGCTATTATGAGTAATGCTGCAATGAACATAAGGGTGCAGATGTCTATTTGATATTCTGATTTCAATTCTTATTGAATATAAAACCAGAAGTATGCATGCTGGGTCACATAGTAATTCTCTTTATTATCATTACTGCACCATTCTACATTCTGTTCCTGCTCTGTGAGTGATTCACAGAGATACTCTGGATATTTTACTTGAGGAGAGAAACAAGATTATATTTCTTCCTAAATTCTAGTGCAGAGCTTGCTTAAATGGCACAAGTTTTTCTCTCCCGAACACTGATGCTTGGTTTTCCAAAGGCAGGGATAACTTTTTGTAGTCTATGACCCTATAGAGTTTTTCGAGTAATATGAAGCATTCTATACAGAAACTAGAAGGTTACTGCCTCCTGTCCTCATGCCCAACTCTGGAACAGAAGATTAGTAGTACCTCAGGTCCATTTTTATTGTCTTTCAGTCACTCTGCCTCTCTGCCATCGCAGTGCATGCTCCAGATTAGCCACTGTTCTACCTTTTGACATAACAGATTAATCTACTTTTTTTTTTAAAGCTTTTTTTTAATTTATTTTTTATTTATATAGCACTGGGTACAGTCAGAAGCACGGGAGGGTGAGAAAATTCACCAGAGCCAGAGCGAGGAACAGAACTGGCAGACTGACAAAATACACTGCTGATGGGAGCAGCGGGTGGCCCGAGAGGTCTGCGTGCCATGTGGGACCCTCGCTGGCGGCCTGGGATTGAACCAGTGCTGCAGAGGCCACGGGCAGCTTCACACCCCAACGCTCAACCGCTGCGCCACCGGGGAGGCCCCAGATTAATCTACTTTTTTGATCTATATATAAATAGAATTATATAGCACTCTTGGGTGCATGCTTCTTGTGCTCAACTTTGCATGTGGGATTCCTCCAAGTTGTTGTAGGTTAAAGCTCAGAAGGACAATTTATATTCCTTGAGACTCTCCGTTGAGACTTTGTAGAGAGGTGGTGGTGGGGCTGCAGATTTTTTTTTTTTGTTTGTTTCTCTGTGGTGTATGGCCAGAGTAGAGCAGTTCTTTTGTCTTAATAGGATGCCTCTTCCCTTGCCCTTTGGGTAGAAAGGGAAGACTTGTTTTTTGGGATTTTTGGTTTAATATGCTTTTTTGGTAGTCACTGATGCTTTTATTTTATTTTGATTTAACTTTATATTTTACATTATTCTTCGTTTTTGTACAATGCATGCTTTCTCCTCTCAGGTGTAGTCCACTGATGGTTTTAGATCGCTAACTTCTTCAGAGTGTGTAATGTTTGTTTTTTATATAATGATACAAATTTTTACTATATTACTATAGGGTGAAGATTAGGGAAAAGCATATGTATTCCATCTTTATGGAAGTAGTTTGCCTTCTGATACATGTTTTTATAACTTACAACCATTAAGAAAGAGAAAATGAAATATTTTATGCATATGTTGTTAATTAACAATGAATGTATTCACTAAAACTTTAAAGAAGGGTCAATTTTGCGTAAAAAGACAATCTCATGTTACTCAGTTTATATTAAGTATAAACTTGTGGACTTTTACCCTGTGTTAAATTTAAATTTCTGTGATTAATTGCAGAATCTTTTAGCTGAGAAGGTAGAGCAGTTGATGGAATGGAGTTCCAGGCGCTCAATCTTCCGAATGAATGGTGATAAATTCCGAAAATTTATAAAGGCACCACCTCGAAACTATTCTATGATTGTTATGTTTACTGCTCTTCAGCCTCAGCGGCAGTGTTCTGTGTGCAGGTAATTTTATGTTTAAATCATTTTACAGACTATTGTCCCACTCTTCAGTTTTTATTTTATTACATTTAAGATAAATTATTATAATAGAATTAATAGAATTCTTCAGTGTTGTAGTCAACTATGTGCATTTAAAAGTAAGTTCAAAATCACTGTAGTTTAGAAAATGACTACATAATATTTTACATATTCTTTTACTGTGTAAAATATTTTTTGACCAATTCATGCATAATTTTAAGAGACTTTTTTTTCTATTTACGTCCTATATAAAGTTGTGTGATAGAATTTCATTCAGGTATTGCCAGGTAGGTCACCTAAATAGAAATTATTGACAGTAAAACACCCTCTTAAAGTACTCTTATTTTAACAGTTTAATAGGTCACCTAAATAGAAATTATTGATAGTAAAGTAGCCCTCTTAAAGTACTTTAAGTTTAATATTGTGGGCAGTCGTTTTACCCAGGGTAAGTCCTTTTATTGTTAAGTACCCCCAATAATTAGAAATTCCTTCCTTTTTCATAGAAGTAAACAATATGAAATGAATGAAACATTTTTCAGTGGGAATATACTAAAGAAAATTTTGGAAAAATACAAATATATAATAATACACATGCAACAATTTAAGTAAATTTTTATTTTGAGATAATTGTAGGTTCACATGCAATTGTAAGATATAATACAAAGATTCTATTACTTTTAACCATTGTCCCCTATCACAACATCTGGAAAAATATAGTAAAGCATTACTAACAGAATATTGGTATTGATACAGTCAAGATACAGAACAGTTCCATCAACATGACAGTCCCTCCTTGCCCTTCGTAGCCACAACCAACCCAACTTCCATTCCCTATTGCCCAAACTTGTTCTCTAGTTCTCTAATTTCAAGAATGGTATATATAAATGGGATCATATAGTATATCACCTTTTATGTTTGCTTTTTATACTTACCTTAGTTCCCTCAAAATTCATACAAGTTGGATTTATCAACAGTTCATATTTTTATTACTAATATTCCATGTATAATAGTAATATTGCATGTTGTAGTTTAAACCACTCATCTTTTAAAGCACATCTGGGTTGTTTCTAGGTTTTGACTATTATAGGTACAACTGCTATAAATATTCTTACTCAATAGGTTTTGTTTGAATTTGAGTTTTGTTCTCTTGAATAAATGCCAAGAGAGTATGATGACTGGGTTGCATGGTAGTTGTCTGCTTAGCTTTATAAAAGACTGCAAAAATGTTTTCCAGAGTGGACAGATCATTGTATATTATCACCATACTAGTATATGAGCTAATGTATACATTATGATAGTGATAACTCATTGTGTTTTACTTTGCATATCTGATGAATAATGGTGTTGCACATCTTTTCATGACTTACATGTCATCTGTAATCACTTTTTTGGTGAATTGCCAGTTTATGTCTTTTGCCCAATTGGAAATTTTTACTGAGTTTTGAGTTCTTTATATATTATAGATAATAGTTCTTTCCCAGATGCGTGGTTTTCAAATGTTTTCTTCTAGTCTAAGGCTTCTTTTTTTTTCAAAGATTTATTTTATTTATACAAGAGCCGGGGTACAGTACAGATGCGCGGGAGGGTGAGAGGATTCACCAGAGACAGAGCAGGCAGACTGACAAAATACACTGCTGAGGGGAGCAGCAGGCGAGCCAGGAGAGGTCTGCTTGCCATGTGGGCTGCTCTGAGGCTGGGGGGGATCGAACTGACACTGCAGAGGCTACGGACAGCTTCACAGTGCTGCGCTCAACCGCCTGCGCCACCAGGGAGGCCCCCATTCTCTTTTCATTCTTATAACAACATATTTTGCAGATTTTAGTGAATCCACTTTACAGCTTCTTTAGTAGCCCTCATTTTTGTTGTCAATTTGAACACTTTGTCTAGTCCTTGAACCCAACAGTTTTCTCCTAAATATGAGTGGTTTTGATCTCATCTTTGGGAGATAAGATCCAGTCTTTCATCATTATGTATGACATTAGCTGTATGATTTCTATAGATGCTCTTTAACCAGTGGAAGTTCTTCTTTACTAGTGTGTGAAGAGTTTTTAATCATGAGTTGTGTTGGAATTGTTAGAGAAGAAAGGAAGAATGGGTGACAGTTTAGCAGCAAAATGAAAACTCTAGATCATATAGATGGTTTCCATACCTATACTACATCATAATTTAATTATTTTGAAGTTGAGCCATGGCATTAACATTTTTAAAAATTGGATCTGGGCAATTTTAGTGTGCAACTAATATAAAGAAAGGAAAGGTAAGGAGCTGGTTCTGTGATTCTTAGCTCATATATTTTTATTGAGGAGCAGTGGGAATAGGCAAGCTTAACTAATTGGAATGTTGCCAGGTAACACTAAGTATCCTTTTCAAAACTAGAATACCCAACTTCTTCATAAAGAATCTGGAATTAAGTAATTTTCTTCTCCAGTACTTAACAATTTAGGAGAAGAAAATCCTTATTAGGACAGCATATTTGGTTATAATATTAACTATTAGATAAATGAAATGAGAGTATCTTTGAAATGTAACTGGGTTCAACAACCCAGGAAGACAGGTGATAAACTAAGTGTGATTTTAATTATGCTATATTTTCACAAGAGTGAAGATCAAGATTTATCTAAAAGTTGGATGTTGTTGAAAATTAAGAAGTTTTAAAGAGTTTAATGTATAAATTGTTCTAGCATAAATGGTTGTTGATGTCATGGAAAAGTTTGGGGAACCTATACTGCTGTACTAATGTCTAGGTTATAAACATGTAGGTTGAAATTATTTGGGGTGACAGTGGAACTGGAGAAGAAAATTAAGAGAGGGCCTCCCTGGTGGTGCAGGGGGTTGGGATGCAACCTATGAAGCTGTCTGCAACATCTGAAGCGCAAATTCGACCCCCAGCCAGGGAGCTACCAACGGGGCACAGCAAACTTCTCCTGGCTCGCCCGCTGCTTCCCTCAGCAGTGTATTTCAGTCAGTCTGCCTGTTCTGCTCCCCATTCTGTCTCTGGTGAATCCTCTCACCCACCCCACACCTCTGGCCTGTACCCCAATTCTTGTATGCACAAATACATAAATCTTTAAAAAAATTAAGTGGGCTGATAGAAGGATGTCTTGGAATTTGTTAGAAGAAGATGATAAATTTCTATTTATAGGATAGCTATCCTATACTATTGTAAGCTTGTAGAGTAATTATCCTACACTACAGATATCACAGGAGAATCTTTTAAATAATTGTGGCTTACCAGTGGTCTGAGATCTACTGTTAGTGAGCCAAGAGAACACTCTGACCCATAGAGTGAGCTGGGTGGATCAAAGTTATGTCAAGCTGACAGCTAAGGTAAAGAGGAGTTTCAAGCAAAAATTTTAAGAACACTTTTTCAAGTTACATTCCTGTATTATAAATTAAGGCTCAAATGGAGTTGTAGATTCATTGGGAAAGGTACCCTATATTAAGCAACCTTCTTTCTCTTTTTTTTTAACTTAAATTCTTTTGACTCTTGTGTTATGTAATTTTGGACCATTTATGTGATACCACTATAATTTTTTATAATTCTGTAGAATCATTGAAAAGTTCAGAGCTATAATTTAAAAAAATCTTAGTGTTAGTGCTTTCCTTTGTGAGAATTCTCTGCATTTTCTTTCCTTTAAGAAGTGATATTTTCTTCTAGAGTTAAGTCACAGTTTCGTTGCTTCTCTTTGCTGAAAGTCTGATGAATGAGCTATTGGCTTCCTTGTAAGCCCTCTTAGCAAATCATTTTGCTCTTCCTTCACACAGTCAGTTTATTCACAAATTTCAGAATTCAATTCTCACCTTTCTCAGTGCTAACATCAAACTCTTTGGCCAAATAAAGTTGTTAATTAAGACTACTCAGTACAATTCTCACCTCCCCTAAGTGTTAACTCCAATCTTCCTTCATCAAATTGTACTGTAGGGAATATTTCCCATAATTGCTGTATCTCCCACAATGTTACTCATCTCTTCCAAAAATGCATTAAGAATTCTAAGAACAAAATACACTCTTTTAATGTTATCACCTTATTATAGTAATAGATGTAAGAAAAAAAATACAGGTCAAGGAACATTAAAAAAAATACATGGAGATCAAGCATGGTGCATGTATTACCAAAATTGATGCACTGGATTTATTATTGGACTTTGAATAAATGAAAAAAATTAGTAATTACAAAGGTATGTTAAAGAGGAAGGTGACTAAATTACATATTGACATTAGATTTTAACTTGCTAAGATCCTTTTCTAACTAAATAAAATTATTGTGTGTAAACCAAATTATAGGGGGTACTGTTTGTGTGTGTATGTGTAGTCTCATGTCATTGTCACTACTCTAAAAGGTAGCTCTGAAAAATCCATTTTATAGATGAAAACATCAGAACTGAGAGGTTATATAATTCATCCAAGCCACATAGCTAGTATCTGTCAGGGTGGGATTTGTGACTTCAGAGCTATTAGAGTTTAATGCTTCCCTTAAATGTACACATTCATCATTGCCTTTACCCTGTGAACTGTAATTTGCATTTTGCTGTTGCGTTCCAAATTAAGATTATTAATCTTTTAGGCAGGGATCCATCAACCAACGTTTCTTAAACTCATTAGATCTTGAAAAGCTTTTATTTAAAGTAACTTCTCATAAGTGGGACTGGCAAATTGAAGATAGCTGGGCAAAGCCATGTGGAAAAGAACTCATCAGCCTTTTGTTTCATTATAGTTAGGTCACGTCTTTTAGGAGATTGGATTTTAAAGTGAGCACATAAGGTGAAAGTCATGTATAGATAAAATTATTCTTATATATCACTTAATGTACTTGTAATTTATAAATGGTTTTAGGGCTAAAACCCTTAATAATTTTCTCTATTCCTTAGGTAGTATTTCTCTGTGCCCTTAGTTTTTAAGTTTTCCTCATATGCTTGGTAACTTGAACAAAGTATTTCCCTTCTGTGTTAAAGACTCACCACAGAGAGTTGAGACAAGACTTCAC